GGCCAGGAGTGGCCACTGCACTCCAGTCTGGGTGACAAAGTGAGACTCCAACTCAAAAAACAAAACAAAACAAAAAAGAGGATGAGAGAGACAAAGAAAAGTAATGATTACAACTGGAGAAGTAAAGACACCAAAGCAGACAAGGAAAGACAGTCAGTAAGTGTCCTCTATAAGGAAGGCTGGGAAATGAACTCAGGCAGGTAAAATGGGAAAAAAGAGAGCCAGGAATGGGAAGGAAAGAAGGCAGGAGGAGATCAAAAAAAAGAAAAGAAAAAAATGAGATAAGAATCAGCAAGAAATAGAAAAATATATATGTATTTTCTTTTTTCTGGCCAGGTCTGCCACCAGAGGGAAAAAAAAATTGAGAGAGAAAGAGACCAACTGACCTATGAGGAAAAAGGTGAGAGATCAGGAAGAGTAGAGAAGCAGTTATAGCACTACAAGAGGTCTTACAGACTGAGGAAAAAAAAACAGAAAAAAAAAGGGATCCCAGTGTTCTACCTGTAACCTGGAAAGCCACCCAAAATCCTAAGTAACATCTGAATAATTCTATTTTAAAATATTCCACACCAGTTGGGCACAGTGGCTCATGCCTGTAATCCCAGCACTTTGGGAGGCTGAGGCAAAAGGATTGCCTGAACCCAGGGTTCAAGACTAGTCTGGGCAACATGGGGAGACCTTGTCTCTACAATAAGTCAAAAAATTAGCTGGGTGTGGTGGCACATGCCTGTAGTTACTTAGAAGGCTGAAGCAGAAGGATCGCCTGAGCCCAGCAGGCAGAGGCTGCAGTAGCCGTAAGCATGCTACTGCACTCCAGTCTGGGTGACAGAAAGAGACTCTGACTCAAAAAAAAAAAAAATTCCCCATAATATTCTGGGATAAGAGATAATTTCTTTCAGAAAGTCGGCTGGAATAGAAGTTGGATCAGAGAGCTATGGCCACTGTGGTACCACTGCTAAAGGAACTACTATACACAAAATCACTGTGTGTCTGAAGAATAAGCCTTGGAAATTTTCTCCCAAAAGAAAAGGAAACCCAAGCAATCAAAACCTTTCCTGGGTAAGGTGTCCCAGGAAAATCTTAGATGTGGTGTATGTTGGGGATTATGATGGAAAATATTCCTGGCCCTTTCATGAAAACTACAGTTCCATCTATGACAAATACAAAAGAGACCTAAAGATTACAGCAAATGCAATTTTTAAGTGATTTAGATACTACAAAAGCAAATTAAAGCCATTATTTTCATTGCTGACTGCCTAAAAGTAAAATTCATAAGCCAGGCTCTGTGGCTCAGCCTGTAATCCTAGCACTTTGGGAGGCCGAGGTGAGTGGATCGCCCAAGCCCACGGGTTCAAGATCAGCCCGGGGAACATGGCAAGACCTTGCCTCTACAATAAATTAAAAAAAATTTAAAAAAAATTAAAAATTAGCCAGACTTGGTAGCGTGCACCTATAGTTTTGGCTACTTGGAAGGCTAAGGTGGAAGGATCGCCGGAGCCCTGCAGGTCAACGCTGGGCTGGTCGTGAGTGTACCACTGCACTCCAGCCTGGGCAAAAGAGTGAGACTACAATTCAAAAAAAAAAAAATTCATAGCTGTGGCACAAATAAATCAGTTTGGCTCCAAAAATCACATTATCCTTAAAGTTGACTGAAACTTCATTAGTTTGTGATGAAAAATGGCATAAATTAAAACTTTCTAAGTAAGTGAGGAAAGAAGTAGATTGAAGCTACAGGCTAACAACTTTTATGCTTAGAAGGACAATCACAAGAATGTGCAGACAGTGTGGGGCCAAACACTCCTAGAGGTGGTCTTTCCAGGCTCAGGGTCAGAACTCAGAGTGAGGTCAGAGAGTGTAGCATATTGTCTTATAAGTGACTGGGAGCTTCTGCTTCGGCAGAAAAGAAACACTTCTTACATTGTAAACCAGAAAGGCAAAACAAGAAACTTAACTACTGGGTTCTCTTACTCACCTGGAGTGATAGTTCTCCGAACCTCTGTGTCCCAGGGATCTGGGCTCCAGGGTACTTCCCCTCTCTCCAGCTGGGAGATCAGAAGAGGTTTAGGGAATGGAAATGCTACTTCAGGAAGAAAAAAAGAAGACAAGTTGTGGGGAGACATCCAGAACTGTTTCTGAGACGTCTCTCAGCCCACCCTCCATCAGCCTAGTTGGGAGAGAAATAAACACTCAGGAGACGAAGTGAGCTACTCAGGGCTTCTAAGGAAGGGGTCCAAGCTATGCTCCACAATGATGCCAGGGAGATATGATCCACCTCAGAAAGAAACTTTGCAGTCTGGCCCTGACTTCGAAGGGAAGCTCCCTCAGGAAAGATGGATGAACTGCTCCCCTGGGAAAATCTTCCACCAAGGGAAATCCAACATCCCCCCCCCCAAATTAAAAGGATGAAGGAATAAAGGGCTCACTTATGGTGCCAGGAGAGTCCTTTCCCTCAGAACCTTGAACCACACCCTTCCTCAGATAGAAGGAAGTCCAGTTTAAAAATCAAAGGAAACCAGGGATTTCCTATCTGGAGGCTGGAGATTGCAGAACTCTCCTCTGGAATCATCAAACCTAAGGGCATCTAGAATCCCCAAAACACCTGAGAAGATATCAAATCATCACAGAGGGCCATCGAGGAGGCCTTACCCAGTGAAGCAACACTTGCATAATTCTCCAGCATCACCTCCTTGTATAAGGCCCTCTGCACAGGCTCCAGACTGGCCCACTGATTCTGGGTGAAGTACACAGCCACGTCTTCAAAGGTCACTGGCTCCTGAAACAAGAGGTTCCTGCTCAAGCTCTGAGTGAGAAGCGAAAAGAGGGAGTCCGAGATGCAGGGAAGGGAAAAACCTGCCTGGATCTGCAACTCAGATACCTATGGAAAGTCTGCACTAGTAGGAATGGCACCCAGCACCCCAGTCAGGGCTGGCCCTCAGCCAGTACTCCCATTTTCAACTGGGGAGCCACAACACTCTCCCATCTGCACAGCTCTGGGGCCCCAAACTGCTAGCCTCATCTCATAACCTGGCATCCAAGTGCTCTCTCCCTGGTGGCACCAACCCCTATGTTCCTGGCTTTACAAATCTGCCCCTCTGGAACTTCCTACCCTTATGTACTCCATAATCCTGTCACCTTATTTTCTAGACTCCAAAAACTAGACAGCTGTCATTCGCCCTGTCTCCACTCACCAAAGGGCACATGCACAGCCCCCATCAGTTCCCCACACCTAGCTTCTCTTTGGTCCTCCCCAGCATCGTCCACTACACACAGAGGAGTACATAGAAATATTCCCAGTATTTTGAATATTTGTCTTTTACACTTTTCTGTCTTATCAAAAAGCTGGTACTCTTGAAAGAAACCTGCAGCTTGCCTATCTGAGCCCTCTTCTCTGAATCACTTGCTTTCAGGGACAGTTTGTCAATGCCCTGTCCCTGGACACAGACACATCCCAGTTTTCTGAGCTCCATCACACCAGCTAAAGCTGTCCACTTTACTAGGCATGTCACTCTGGTTCCCCCGAGGGCCATCTCCACCTTCCCAAGAGTGAGGCAACTAACACTTTTTGATTAGTCCCTATACACCAGGCTCTTAGGTAGGTAATTTTAAATCTTGTATATAATTTCATTGTTACAACATAGATGTGAAACAGGAATGATGACTCCCATTTTTCAAATGATGTAACTAAGGTTCAAAAAATTACTTTGCCAAAAAAAAATTACTTTGCCAAAGATCACACAGCCAGGATATGGTAGGGATGGGAATTCAACCTAGATCTGTCAAACAACAAACATGGGCTCTATCCATGCACCAAGCTGTCCCTCAAACTGGGCTTATAAACTTCTCCAAAAACATGACTAACTCCTGAACCCCATAATAACCTAGTACCACCCAATCTTTGGAGAACAATTTCTCAAACTCCCCAACACCCCAAATCATCATTTAATCCATCTTTACCATATGTACCCATTCCAGGCCACATGGGTCCCCCTCCCCAGTTTGGGTTGGGAATCAGTTGTTTCAAAACTGCACACACCATCCTGGACACCAGAGCCTCTAAACCTTCCACCAAGCCCCAGAGCAGTCCTGGATGGTGTCCTTTGGCTACTTTCTCTGCTTCTAAAGTTAGGATAGAGCAGACCACAGAGACAACCTCACCTTGGAGGGGATTTCATGACTTATGTGCCTTCTCACCTTGATGCTTCCAAAGACAATTCCACCTCCCAGGAGATTCTCATAACCCTATGCTGTCAGCCTTGTTCTTTTCAGCCACCGAAAATGAAAATAGCACCAGAGCTGCAGCCAAGCCCCTTACTCTTACCTATCACATTCTGACTCCAGGAAGCCCCTAAAGCAGCCTATTTTCTGTAGTTGGCACAGAGAGACAGGGAGAGGGGAATGTGACTGCAACTGCTCTTAAAAGGAAGAGGAAAGATTCATACACCACAGATAAATTCTGGCAACTCAAACTGCTCACAGCAACTCTACTGGCTTCACAAGCAGGTCTTTATCAGATGGTCTTTTCAAAAACAGGTGCAATTAGGGAACTCAGCTCTAAAGGAGACATTGAAAGGAAAAAAAAATTGGACACTCAAAGGGAGGTATAGCCTTTAAATTGACAACAATAAGGTCCAATGGGTCCCCAAAGGGTGTGAGCCAAAAATCCAAACAGCACACTGAATCATGTTTTCCTATAATTACAGCTTAACAACAAGGCATTAAGGGCTTCTACGGACAGGCTCACAGGTAAAACCAACTTTCACCTCCACTAATAGCAAGTCAAATTATACTCCGTAATGCCTCTTTCACAACTTTCTCCTCTCAGCCTACCACCATCAACTTCTTCCTCACCTAAATTGTCCTTCTCACCTGCCATCAAATATTCCCATGTTTCGTAAGTCCTAAAAAAAATGCCTGATATTAAAGGAAAAACTTATTGTTTTAGGGCAGTTGGGTTTTAAATATCTTTTTGTTCCTCTTGTGGATGGTCCCTATGTACCTCACTTCATTTTATTTTTCTCTACAGTGTTACTCACCATCTGACATAATATATTGCTGATTTATCTATCTCCCCCTACCAGAATGCAAGTCTATGCAGTAAACATTCTGTTTTGCTCAGATTGGTCTATTTGCATACTAGCATCTGACATGTATTGGATGATAAATATACATTTGCTAAAAGAATTAATTTCCTATGTGTGTATGTGTGTGTGTGTGTGTGTGTGTGTGTGTGTAATTTTTTAACTTATATAAAGGATAAGAAACCAACAACAAATACCACCTAAACAACAAATGCTAAAGCATATCAAAGCTGATAGCTGATAATTTACTGAAGTGAGGTTCTACTTTCTGCAAAAGCCAGGAAAAAGAGCATAAATATATGAAAGAAATAAACATAAACATCTTTGCTTACAGATGAAATAACTACCTGCCTAAAGATATCTAAGACTAAGAAAATAAACTGAACACATTTAGAACTGACAAAACTATTAACTGTTATCTATAGAATAAGTAAACCAAAATTATTAGCTTTCCTAAATACCATCTTAAGCAATTGAAAAATATAATGAGAGAAAATAAGATGACATTTATACAAAAACATCTAAAAACAGACCTAACAAAAATGTGCAAGACTAGGATTAAAAAAAAACAACTGTTTATTAAGATACACAAAAAAGAACTGAATAAATTAGAATATACTGTGCTCTTGAATGAGAAGAACCAAATTTGTATGAAGTCAATTATCTCAAAATTTACTTATGAATTCAATAAAATTCATTATTCTCTCTAAAAATCCATGAGATTTGTGCAGAGTAGATCATTTAAAGTCATCTAAAAATATATGTATGAAAGACTAACAAACAATGTTTTGGAAAAAAAATTAAAAAAAAAAGATGTTGGGGAATTAAAACATACTTTAAAAGGATAATAAATCAAGAAAATGAAGACATGCCACAGAATGGGAGAAAATAGCTGCAAGACATATCTGATAAAGCACTATTATCCAAAATATACAAAGAACTCTTACAAACAATCTAATTAAAATTGGTCATGTCTCTACAAAAAAAAATTTAAAAATTAGCCAGGCATGGTGGCATGTGCCTGTAGTCGCAGCTACTCAGGAGGCTGAGATGGGAGGACTGTCTAAGCCCAGGAGCTCAGGCTGTGGTGAGCCATGATCGTAACACTGCACTACAGTCAGGGCAACAAAGTGAGACTAAAATGAAAAAAACCAAAAAAACAGCGGGGGTAGGGGGAGCAAAAAACCTGAATAGACACCTCAACAAAGAAAATATACAGATGGCAAGTGAAAAGATGCTCCAGATTATATGTCATTAGGGAGTTGCAAATAAAAGCAACAATGAGATACCACTACACACCTATTAGAATGGCCAAAATCTAAAAACTGACAACACCAAATGCTGGCCAGGCTGTGGAACAGAAACTCTCATTCATTGCTGGTGGGAACCAAAATGGGAAAGCTACTTGTGAAGACAGCTTGGCAATTGTTTGCAAAACTAAACATACTCTTTCTATATGCTCCTTGCTATTTAACCAAAGGAGTTGAAAACTTATGTCTGCACAAAAACCTGCACATGAACATTTATAGCAACTTTCCTCATTACTTTCAAACCCTGAAAGCAATCAAGATGTCCTTCAGTAGGAGAATGGGTAAATAAACTGTAGTACTTCCAGACAATGGAATATTATTCAGTGCTAAAATGAAATGAGCTATCAAGTCATGAAAAAACATGGAAGAAACTTAAGTGCATATAACTAAGTGAAAGAAGCCAATCTGAAAAGGCTACATATTGTATGATTCCAACCATATGACATTCTGGAAAAGGCTAAACTACAGAGACAGTAAAAAGACCAGTCAATGGTTATTAGGAGCCAAGAGGAAGGGAAAGATGAAAGGAGGCGCATAAGGGATTTTTAGGGCATTGTAACTATTCTGCATGATACTACAATGATGGATATGTGTCATTATACACTTGCAAAACCCATAGAATGTATAACAATAAGAGTGAACTCTAATGTAAACTATGGACTTTCAATGATGATCTGGCAACTTAGGTTCACTCCTTGTAACAAATGTATCACTCTGGTGTGGGATGTTCCTAGGGGAATGGGGGATTGGGGAGCTGTGCATTGCATGGGGGTAGGAGGTATACAGGAACTCTGTGCTTTCTGTCCAATTTTACTAGGAACCCAAAACTGCTATCAAATATAAAACTTAATTTCATTTTAAATATCAGGGATGAGTTATTTCCAAAATCAAATCTCATATGCTAAAATTTAGGACATATCAGAAAGTATGGAAAGAAGGAGAAGGAAAGCATCTCCATTCTTTTAAAGACACTGACATAGTATCCATACCAGAACTTGTATCTGAACTTGTATTAGAACTTATGCTGGGTGCAGTGGCTCATGTCTGTAATCCCAACACTTCAGGAAGCCAAAGCAGATGGATCAATTGAGGCCAGAAGTTCGAGATCAGTTTGGGCAACACAGTGAGACTCTGTCTACAAAAAATTCAAAAATTAGCCAGGCAAGAGACTGAGGCTGGAGGATTGCTTGAGCCCAGGAGTTTGAGGCTGCAGTGAGCTATGACTGTGCCACTGTACTCCAGCCTGAACAATAGAGTGAGACCCTAGCTCTGAGAAAGAGAGACAGAGAGAGACAGAGACAGAGAGAGAGAGAGAGAGAGAGAGAGAGACAACTTATATATGTATATGTAGGGGCAGAGAGTACATGGGATGACTCTGTATCTTCCACTCAATTTTGCTGTGAACCTAAAACTGCTCTTAAAAAATAAAGACTATTTTTAAATAAATAAATAAAAAGACAGTACTTAATATCTTCCTGGACTGTAATATCGTCTTATTTGACTCACACCCTTCTATAATCAATTCACCACTAAGGGCCAGAAAAGTCTTTTTCACGTATAAATCCAATCATGTCACCCCCCTCTGCTTAAAACTCTTCAGTGCCTTCCCACTGAACTAGAGTAGAAACCAAAGCTTTCACCATCTGCCTACTTCTCCCACCTCACATTGAAATACTTCTCTCTGATCTCTTCCTGTGTCTAGAGTACACCCAGCTTTCTCCCCCACTTCAGGGCCTTTGCATCTAGCATTTAGAAAATGTATATTCAAAGAACAATGCTGGTGTCTCTGGGATACATCCACAATTTGTGGGGCAATCTCTTCAACAAAGAATTTCTCTGATTTCTGCAGGTGACTTTCATTTCTAGAACATGACATGGAATTCAGTTTCTTGGCTTGGGTTCCCTTTCTTCCACTTAAAACTACATATCTCTAAGTTCTGCTCTCTCTATACACAAAACTTTTATTTCCTCCATCACATATTTACATCTGCCAGAGCCCTAAGGATAAAATCAAAAGGGAAACCACAGCCTGGCCAAGTTAGGCCTTCTCTGTCCGTTCCTGATTACAGGATAGCTAATATGAGTAAAAAAAGACTAAAAGGAAGCTCAGCTCACCTGAGGCCAAGTTGTTTGGAGCATGGCTGATGTCTCCTGGCTTCATGCACTGTCTTCTGAGTTTGGAAAGCAAGCTAAGAGAAGAAGAGCCATGAATGCTATGGACCCTATTCTGCATCACCTACAGCAACCTATGACCCTCCCAGTCTCCACATTTCCACACTGGAAGGAGACTCCATTACGCCCCCCTCTGGCTGTCCTCACCCTGATAGCCACAACCTCTTTATGAATTGTTCTGCCAGGACAACCCTCCCATCTGTCTCCTCAGTCCGAAGAGCATTCCTGAGCCCATTCATATGGAGTAGACTGAGGGATCCGAGAAGAGCCCTGTCCCTCCGGTGCTGGGTCTGTACAAACGTCAAGAGTCTACGGAAGGCTTACAGGGACCATGGCATTGACCCCAAAACAGAGTGCCTCTGAAGAGGAGGGACAGGGGTAGCCGTAGTGTCTCAGTGGACAATGCTGACTGGAGAACCAACCCAACCCCAAACATCAGAAACGTCAGTACCGGGCGCGGGAGGCTGTAGGGACAGAAAAGAGGATCACGCCTTGATGGCAAGGGGCCGGCCCGGGCTCTAGGAGGCCGCTCAGCCACCTCCGCGGCTTCAGCGAGGCCCAGACGCCCACGCTCCTGGTGAGGGAGGGACCGGCCGCCATCGGGACCAAGTTCAAGGGACTAGGGGCCGACGAGCCGCCAGGGGCAGCGAGGAAGCCGGCACCGGGCGGACCTGGCTCGTAGAACTCTCTGAAAGCCGCGTTCTTCCTCTCCGAACACCGAGAAGCTGGTAACGAGAAGCCGATCCGGAAAAGCGAGCGCGCACGTAGGGCCCCTCTAGGCCCCCCGGAGGCTGCCCATCTCTGTAGCCCTGCGGTCCGGTCCCACGTGACTCGCCCCGACCAGCGGAAAAGGCGGGGTTGCCGCGCCAGTCGGCTACCGAGCGGTCGGCGGTTGACTTGCTGTTGCGACTCTCTCGGCCGGGGCGTCTCCTGCGGCAGCCTTTGGCACCGCCTAGGTTTGGGGTGTGAAGGCAATGATGCAAACTGGCTTTACTCTGACGTCGGCCCCTAGGCACAAATGGGACGCCAGTTAACCGACTGGCCCTCAGCAATCAGCCGCCTTTATTCCGAGGGTGCCCTGAAGCTTGAGCTGTGCAGGTATGGCGAGAAAGGCACCTCTTGTGTAATCTCTTAGAGGGGCCTGGGCTGGGCAGCCTTCAGGAAAACTATGGTTTCCACCTGCCCTTGTAGTTCTTTCCCCTCCTAGATGTGTGTGGAACGTTTTAAGACAGATTCGTTTAACAACCGATAACAGTGACTAAGGTTCTCAGGGATCCTCTAGATACAGGGCATGTTCTATATTAAATGATGTGGTCCTATATTGACTTTGGCAAAATACCCTAAATGTCCTGTTTTAGCTTTTTCCAATAAGTTACAAAAATTCGTAGTTTGGCTACTTTTTCTGCACAGTAACTGGCACTTAAATAACAAATACTAATACTGGCTAAAAAAAAAATCATACTTTTACAAATAAAGATCTGGACAATCTCTTACGGTCTCTCCTGTAAGTTTGACTGCAGGAAGAAAAGATGAGGGGGACACTGAGAATTAAAATAATTTATCATATTCAGGAAAGGAAAAGACTGCCCTTTGACCAAAGTCCCAAGTCACAAACTGGTAATTGCCATGAAGTCACATAACTTCCGGTCAGAACACAGGCTCTGAAAATCAACCAATGAACAATAGGCTCACCCCAAGCTTCTGAACAGGAGCCAGTGATAAATACATCTGAAAGCCAGCCAATCAGCAGCAGCCTCGCCCACTGGATGGCAGCCAATCAGCAAGTGCTTTCCTGATTGACTTTGCTTCTAAGCCTTACTCCAAGGACGACTTATTACCAACATGGCTGCCAAGATGGACAGCCTTTTGTTTTACCTTGATCACTCTGATACATCTCCTGGACACAGTTCCAGATGAGACTACTACTAGTCATCATTTATTGTGCTAAAAAGGGGAATCGACCTCCCACCATTAAAAGATAGGAAGAGTGATCCTGGGTTTCTAGATATACTGCTTTCTTACAGGGTACCACTTTTCGAAGTTTATATTTATTTCCCAGGAATTTGACTGACTTGCCAAATATCGCACAAAGAAGGCCTATCATGTAGTTACTTTAGGTATCTACTGCTGCATAACAAATCGCCCCAAAACTTTGTGGCTGAAAACACTATCTCTCAAAGTTACTGTAATTTGGGAATGTCGTGGCTAAATCGTACTGGCTTGGGATCTCTCCCAAGATTCTAGTCAGGGTGTCACCTGGAAGCTTGACTGAGGCTAGAGGATTTGCCTCCAATGTAGCTCACTCACATGGTTGACAAATGGGTGCTGGTTATTATTAATAGTATGAAACCTCATCACTTCCCACATTGGGTATCTGCACATGGCTGAGTATTCTCACAACACAGCAGTAGGCTTCCATTTCAGGTGAGCAGTAGGCTTCAATGTCATTTATGTCCTAGCTTTGGAAGTCAAACACTGTCATTTCCTCAATATACCATCACTACAGGGCAGTCAATTCAGTGTTGGATGAGATACACAACAGCATGAATCTCAAGATGAGAATCACTGGGGACCATTGTGGAGTCTGGCTAAACACATATTTAACCTGCCACAGAAACAGTCCTTTTTATAAAATCGATAGTATTTTCACTGTAAGGTTTATGCAGAGCAATTATTTTATTTTAACTAGATGAACTAGATTTCCAAGAACGATAACATAAGCACATACATTTACATACTGCTTCTCTAAACCTATCAAAATGAACATCTAAGTATACGTGGAAAAAGCATGATATAGTGCAGGTCAATAAAACTAGTGAGAAAATGAGATTTTAAATTTCAAGAATCAAAAGCAGGTAATATTAGCTGTATTTGACTCTTTGCTGGGTTGAGGAAGTCAAGAAGTGACCAGGAAAACATGGAAGGACTGAATGCTATCAGTGGACAGTCTTCTTTAAAACAAGTGGGAAGAATGCCTTGATCTTGCTCTGTTTCCACTCTCTGTATTTGTAGTAGGCAACTATAATATCTTAATAAAAAGATGGATTAAAAACAAAAAAACAAACATGCATCTGTGAATCTACAGAAATGGGCACATATATATGAGTGTACATATACATCCATATATATATATCATACTCCAAAGAGTATCAGCCAGTTATTACAATTAATTCTAATTTGAAAGGGAACAAGATTGGACATATAACTCTTCCACTTGGTATTATGGTGCAGGGATAAGAAATTAGAGTTTTGGTAGGCCGAACTAAAATTCCCTGGTGGGGAGCACATCAGGAATCATGAACAGTCAGAGGAGAAAATTGGGAGCATGCAACAAGAGGCCTATTCTTGCCCAGAACAGCCTCATCAGAGGGACAGAGTATAGATAGTGCTGACTAGAAGAAGCTAAAGGGCAAAGTGAACCAAAAGATATGGGAAACTTTAGACTTTGCAGGTGTCACAGTTCACATATCAGCACAATTAAAGTCTCTGGAGTGAGATCTCTCACCTGATCAATGCCAGAGAGATTGGTTCTCCTGAAAGACGCATTATCCATCCTATCCAGCCGAGTGCAGTGGCTCATGCCTATAACCCCAGTAATTTGGGAGGCAGAGGTGAGAGGATTGCCTGAGCCCACGGGTTCGAGAACAGCCAGCCTGGATAACATGGCAGGACCATGTCTCTACAATAAATCAAAAAAATTAGCTGGTCGTGGTGACCCGTGCCTGTGGTTCCAGCTACCTGGAAGGCTGAAGCAGAAGGATCGCCTGAGCCCAGCAGGTCAAGGCTGTGGTGGCCATGAGTGGGCTGTGGTGGCCATGAATGTACCACTGCATACCAGCCTGGGAGACAAAAGTGAGACTCCTACTCAAAACAAAAAAAGCAAACAAACAAAAAAACACTTTCCTCATCCATTAGCCACTGCAATAAAGGCAAGAAATTTTAAAAGTCATCCAGAATCAGAAAGAAGTAAAACTGTTATATGCAAACATGATTCTCAATGTTAGAAACTCCTATGGAATCTATAAAATGTTACTAGAATCAGTGAGTTGTGCAAGGTTGCAGGATACAAGGTCAATACACATAAACCAATTATATTTCTATATGCTACCAATGGACAACTGGAAATGTACTAGTTATGACAGCATCAAAAAATATAAAATATTTAGAAATAAATCTGGCCGGACTCAGTGGCTCACTCCTGTAATCCCAGCACTTTGGAAGGCCGAGACTAGAGAATTGCTTGAGTTCAGGAGTTTAAGATCAGCCAGGCAACACAGTGAGATGTCATGTCTGCACACACACATGCACACAAAAATGGTGGCATGCTACTGTAGTCACAGCTACCCAGGTGGCTAAGGCGGAAAGATCACTTGAGCCTAGAAGATCAAGGCTGCAGTGAGCTGTGATTGTGTCCAGCCTGGGCGACAGAGGGGGACCCTGATGCAATAATAATAATAATAATAAATCTGAGAAAAGTGTAAAAGACCTATACACTTAAATTTTTTTAATTGATGAAATTAATAAATATCTAAGTAGATTTGCCATGTCCATGGCAATTCTCCACCAGATTGATTCATAGATTAAATGCAATCCCAATCAAAAATCTCAGGAAGTGTTTTGTAGAAAACTGAAAAGCTAATTCTAAAATTCATATGAAAATGCAAAGGACGTCAAATGGCTAAGACACCTTGACAAAGAACAAAGCTGGGGACTAACACTAAATGACCTCCAACATTTATTGGAAAACTACAGAATAACTATGGCAGTCCCTTAAAGAGTTTAAGATAAACAAATATATAAATGGAACAGAACAGAATCTAAAAATAGACCCACACATATATGGACATCTGATTTGCAATAATGATACAAAGATAATTCAGTGAAGAAGGAATTGTGTTTTCAAAAAATGATGCTACAGGCTGTGCATGGTGGTGCATGCCTGTAGTCCCAGCTACTCAGGAGGCTGAGGCAGGAGGATCGCTTGAGCCCAGGAGTTCTAGGCTGTAGTGTGCTATAATGATGGCTGTGAATAGTCACTGTACTCCAGACTGTGCAGCACAGTGAGACCTTGTCTCTTTTTTAAAAAAAATGGTGCTACAATAAAATGTCCATATAAAAATTTTAGATCAATACCTCACATCTTACACATTAACTCAAAGTAGATGACAGAACTAAATGTAAAACCTAAAATATAAAACTTCCTTAAAAATACAGAAAATAATCTTTGTATACTTGGGTAAAAAAAAGCTTTCTAAGATATGATGCTGAAAACATGATCCCTAAAACAATGGAATTTTTAAAAAACTGATAAATTGGACTTCATCCATACTAATGTCTTCTACTCTTCAAAAAACAGTCAAGTGAATGAAAAGACAAATCATAGGCTAGTAAATATTTAGAAATCATATACCTGAAAAAGACAACATCCAGAATGTATAAACACCACTCAAAGATTAATAAAAACAATCAACCCAATAAAAACATAGGCAAAAGATACAAACAGACATTTTATCAAAGACATGTGGAAAACAAATAAGCACATGAAAATATAGTCACCATGATTAGTCAGTGGAAAATGCAAATTAGAACCACAATGGGATAGCAAGAAACAATCAGAATAGCTAACATTTTTTAAACTGACATCAAGTGTAGGCAAACACATATTGGAAGTGGAACTCTCATATAATGGTGGTGGAAATGTATAATGGCACAACCTCTTTTGTAAAAGAGTTTTGAAATTTCTATAAGTTTAATAGGATACAGTGGTATATGCCCATAGTCCCAGTTACTGAGAGTAGTTGAAGTGGAATTGTGCTGGGAGGATCTCTTGAGCCAAAGAATTCAAGTTCAGCCTGGGCAACATAGTAAGACGCTATCTCTAAAAAATAAAAACAAAAAGTTAAACACATACCTACCTACATATATCTAGCCATTCCTCTCCTGGTATCTCCTCAAAACAAATGAAAGCATATAACCTTATAAAGACTTGGACACAAATGTTCATAGCAGCTTTATCTGTAATAATCAAAAATTGGAACTAACCCAAATGGCCATCACCAGATCAATGGACAAACAAATTGTGGTATATCTGTACAGTGAAATAATACTCTGCAATAAAACTATTGCTATATGCAACAATATGGGTGAATCTAAAAATAATTATTGAGTGAAAGACACCAGACCAAAAAACAAATAAAGATAAATTAATCCAAAGTGACAGAAAGCAGATTAGTGGTAGCCTGTGGAGGGCCAGAGGAAGGGATTACAGAGGGGCACAAGTTTTAGGGGTGATACCTGTTTATTATCTTGTGATAACTGTTTCACTGGTATATCAGTAAGTCAAAACTTATCAATAATAATAGGTAATACACTTTATTATGTACCAGCCACTGTTTGAAACACTTCTATATGTATTATTGCATTTAATACTCAACACACACCTATGCGGTAGATTAACTGTCATCCCCATTTTACAGATAAGGAAACTAGTACACACAGTTTCCGCAACTTAATCCAAGTCACATACCTAGGTGCAAACCAGTCTGCCTGGCTCTGTATTATTAACCACAACCCTTTGATTCCTGCAATGCACAAAATCAAGCTGCCTACAAAAGTAGACATCAAAGTGGGACACATTTACATCTTCCTTCATTTCCACAGGTAAGATTAAATAATGGTAGGATCTCCCATGATTATACAAAATAACTAGACGGAGTTGCAAGAAAATGTTTCCTGCTTTGAGATCACTTGGGATCACAATGAGATAAATAAATGTAAGATGCATGAGGCCTTGCATCTGACTCAGAGTATATACATCTTTTGCAAAGGCACAGACTACAACTGAGTAGCGAAGACTAACTGCAAAGTAGGGTGGGTGGACACTGCACCTGAGGTAGGTCTCTGGAAGTCTACACCCTACTGGAAATGTCTTCCGAGATGCATATGGCTCCATGTGAACAGGATCCTTCTGTTGTTGAATTTAGGAGTTCTGGATATACAGACTGTAATCCCACATGTATCTTTTTATTTCTTAGGTTAGCCCTTGTTTAGTGTTACACATCTGGGAAAGGATGCGTGGGAGATGAAGGTTTCCAGTCTCAACAGTCTGAAGTGCCTTTATTGTATACTTACACTTGAGGGTATAGAATCCCTGGGAGGAATCGTTTTCCATTAGAATTCTGTCATCTAATTTTCAAGGCTGCTGCTGCTAAGGAATCTGGCGCCAGGCTCATTTTTGATCTTTTGTTTTCTCTCTCCTAGAAGCTTTTTAGAATCTCTCTCTCTCTCTCTCTGAGTTGGAGTTACACTCTGTCACTCAGGTTGGAGGGCAGTGGCACACTCACGGCCACTGCAGCCTCGACCTGCTGGGCTCAGGCGATCCTTCCACCTCAGCCTTCCGAGTAGCTGAAATTACAGGAACACACCACCATGCCTGGCTAATTTTATTTATTGTAGAAATGAGGTCTCGTCAAGTTGCCCAGGCTGGTCTCGAACCCGTGGGCTTAGGCAATCCTCTCACCCCAGTATTCCAAAGTGCTGGGATTAAGGGCGCAAGTCACTGCACCTGTCCTTTTCTTTCTTTTTTTTTTTTGAGTTGGAGTCTCACTCTGTCGCCCAGACTGGAGTGCAGTGGCTGCTCCCGGCCACCGCAGCCTCGCCCTGCTGGACTCCGGCGATTCTTCCGCCTCAGCCTTTCAAGTAGCCGGAATTACAGGCATGCGCTACCACGTCTGGCTGATTTTTTTTATTTATTTATTGTAGAGATGAGGTCTCACTGCCCAGGCAGGTCTCGAACCCGCGGGCTCAGGCAATCCACTCACCTCAGCCCCTCCAAAGGCGCAGGATTACAGGCTGAGCCACCGAGCCCGGCTCCTGTCCTTTTCTAAAAATTCTCTTTCCAGGGTCCTCTTGTTCAAACCTGGTGTTTTCATAATTCACAGTGATGTTCTTTAACATAGGTTCCCCCCCACCAACCGTGCCCCAATTCATCTTGCTGGGCACTCAGCATAGCCTTTAAATCTGGAAACTTACACTTCCTCTTATATATGTAAGTTTTGGGTTCCTGTTGGGGAAAGAAGAGCTCAAAGAATTTGAGGAAGTTTTCATGATAGAAGCCAAGAGTCAATTAAACATATGACTGGGTCTAGGTGTGGTGACTTACACCTGTAATCCCAGAACTTTGAGAGGCTGAGAAAGGAAGATTTTTTGAGCCCAGGAATTCAAGACCAGCTTAGGTAACATAGCAAGATACCCTCTCTACAAAAAAAAATTAAAAATAGTTGCATGAGGGAGGCTGAGCTGGGAGGACTGCTTGAGCCCAAAAGTTCGAGGTTATGGTGAGCCATGATTGTACCACTGCACTCTAGCCTAGGGGACAGAATGATATCTTGACTCAAAAAAATAAAAAATAAAAGCCAGACATATGACTAGACAAGTAGAGAAGCAGGCATTCCAGATATGCAGAGCCATGGGTACAAAGGCATATAACTAAGAATCAATACAATCTAGGAAGGACAGTGAGGACACTGACAAAGAGTATGAAAGTAGGAAGAAATAAGAAGAAGCACAGTGAGCTTAACTAGGGATGGCTCTATGCTTAGACAGGAGTCTTCTGAACGTGTAGTTTCTGATGCAGAATGAATCTTCCACACCAGCTGAAAGTTTTCCAACATACCTTACACTCGTAAGGTTTCTCGCCAGTGTGAACTCGTTTGTGTTGAACCAGTGTTATTTTTTGATTGAAAGCCTTCCCACACTCCTTACATTCAAAGGGCTTCTCCCCAGTGTGAATTCGCTGATGCTGTGTCAAGGCTGTGTTGGAGCTTAATCGTTTCCCACACTCTTTACACTCATAGGGCTTCTCTCCAGTATGCATTCGTTGATGGACAGTGAAGCTTGAGCTACAACTGAAAGTTTTCCAACATTCATTACATTCATAGAGTTTCTCCCCAGTGTGGAACCTCTGGTGCTGAAGGAAGACTGAGCTGCTGCTGAAGGTCTTGCCACACTCCTTACATTCATAGGGCTTTTCTCCAGTGTGAATTCTCTCATGCTGAACCAAGGCTGTGTCTGAACTTAAACCTTTCCCACATTCTTTACATTTAAATGGTTTTTTTCCAGTGTGAATTATCTGATGCCGAATAAGTAATGAGTTATATCTGAACTCTTTTCCACATTCTTTGCATTCAAATGGCTTTTCACCAGTGTGACATTTCTTATGTCGGTGGAAGTCTGCCATTCGGCTGAAACACCTGTCACATTTTTCGCATTCATAAGATAGCTGACTACTGGGAACTGTCTGATTCATAGCGAGTTGTGTTCTGGCACTCACATTTTTTTCTAATTTCTTATACTTCTCTCCACTTTCGACAGCACAGGCCTCAAGGTGCCTGATTGACCCATCTGAGAAATCTCTCCTCTTTGATTTTGTCTTAACTATCCAATGACCTTTGAATGGTTCTAGGCTGCTCCCAAATTCAAGGTGCTGGGGAATATTTCCTGCCAGCCCTCCAGATGTCAGCCTGAGGGCCTCTGTCTTCTTTAGAGTAAATTCTTCCTTCTCAGTTCTGGTCTCATCCCCTGATATCACAAAAAGAAAACACAAGTGTCAGCTCCTGATATCACAAGAAAATATCTATGTTGAAGGGGAAACAGGATCGAGCAGTTCTAAGTTGCCCTAAGTGTATGGATATTTTCTAGCATGTTCACAGAATGGCTATTTAAGATCACGACACGCCAGAGTCCCACAAGTAGCATGAAGACTTGATGACAGGGAGGCAAGCTAGGCCAAGAGGCATTCCCATAACCATTATGAAAACTAGAAAACAACAAAGACTGCTAACTAGGAAATAAAGACCAAGAGAAAAGTGAATGGGGTGGATAAAGGTACAGAGAAGTGATGGACAGAGACCCTTACGAGAGAGGAAGACCACTGCAATTAAAGAAGGGCCAGGTTGAGAAGCTCAGGCTCTACAAAGTGTCCCTCAGACCAAAATTCCTTAAGAGTTGCTTTTTTAAAAAACATTCATGTCATAATCTATGAAAAGAGAGCTGAGTTCTATGATCAAATTGGCTCTCTCAAAGCAACAGGCTCCTATGTAGTGGCTGAGTGAACTGTGCCCGGCAAACACTGCAGCATCCAGAAGGCTACAGCATCCAGGAAGCCTTGGAGACTTACCTGTAAAATAAAAGAGCATTGGTAATGTGGAGAACCCTTCCAAGAATGGACGTCAGTCCCAAAGAACACCAGGTAACAATTCTTGCCATTTTTCCTCAAAGGTCATAATAGGATGTACATTTGTTTAATATAATAGTTTGAAATATGAAATACTAAACTAACATAGCAATAAGGGAAAACCAAAGGCTATTTTCCCTTAACTATTGAGGCCTTTTAGAGATGAATAAAATCTTTAGCACTGGGCCAGGGCAAAACCTCATGTGTTCACAAGCTTGTTCAGAATACATTTTTAACCAGATAGTCTGAAGTCCTGAGGTCATACTCAGAAAGACACAACTTTAACACAAGACTGGGAGGTGCATCAGTAATGGCATTAGAGAAGGGGTGAAACAGAATAAGAAAGGCAAGAAAATACACTGGGTTATTACTTTGTATTCTCTTATCAATAGCTGTCAAAGTGAGGAAACTATTCAATTTTAACTTATAATACATTTTGCTTCAAAAGTGTACCTGTTAAAAAGAAATATTTTGGGGGCTGGGTATCGTGGCTCGTGCCTGTAATCTCAGTACTTTGAGAGGCTAAGGCGAGAGGATTGCTTGACCCTAGGTGTTTAACACCAGCCTGGGCAACATAGCGAGACCTTGTTTCTTTAAAAAAAAGAAGAAAGAAAAGAATGAAAAAGGAAGTTGTTTTTTTTTTTTTAGGTATCTGGGGGGAAAGATGAAACAAGAATGGCAGGATACTTATGACTATTGAGGCTAGGTGAGGGATATGTAGAGTGCATCATGCTGGTGTTTGCATATGTTTAAAATTCCCATTATAAAAATGAAATTTGTATTACTTGTTAAGTCAGTGCTTATGAAGTTATAATTCAATTTTCCACAGAAATAACATAGCCTACTAAATACAGGTGGCCAGACAGGCTGCCAGAAAACTATTCTTTTCAAAAGGTAGCTGACACCCTCATGTTTGTAAAAAAAAAAAAAACACTGGTAGAAAAATAAAATGTTTCCATGTGACAGAGAAGAAAGAGGCTGGTTTAATTGCTGCTCAATCTCCCTTGGCAGGTTGTGAGGAAGAGAGGCAAAGATGAACATGCAAAGAAATTCACAGTCATGCCTGTCTTGGAAGAGACTGCCCCTCCTCATTTGAGATAGACTTCCACCATGAACCATCAGAAAAGCACATGTAATGATTACCATCAGAAAAGCACATGTAATGATTCTATAGAAATAAAAAACAGTCTCCCAAGAGAAGAAACACTTCTTACACATTGAAATGTGAAAACAAGAAAACAGGCCAAGCAAAAAAAAAAGACAACTGGGAGATTCTCATGCTCACCTGGACAGACACCTCTGAGGGCCTGCCTATACACAGGTTTCCAGGGATCGAGACTCCTTGGCAGTTCCCCTTGTTCCAGCTGGGAGATGAGAACAGGTCTGGTGAACAGAAAAGCTGCCCAGGGAAAAGGAAACCAGAACAAAAAGGTAAAGGGAATCATGAAGCAGGATCCCCTTTCAGCTCCCTTTATCTTTCTCTACTGAGCCAAGAAGAGAGAAACTAAGTGAAGTCAGAAAGAAACTTAACAGTCTGTGCTGTTGGAAGACAGAAATTTCCCACAAAGGGGGGCAAAGTTCCAGAATAATCCCACACTCACATGAGAGAGTCCCAAGTCTAATTCAGCAAACCTGGAAGACAGAGACACAAGGGGCTTTGCTGTGCTCCCCAGAGCTCCTCATTTCCCTCCATGTTTGGGATACAGTACCTCCTAGTATTAGAAGAACAGCTGATTTTAAAAACCTGGGAACTCAGGGCTCTTCCCACCCAGTAACCTCTGGGGAGTTTAGCCTTCAGGGCAACTGCCCCTGGGGGTTATTAATCCTCGAGAGTTATCAAAGACTCCACAAAGTTCTACAGAAGAAAGAGGTCAGAGAGTGAAAAGAGCAGAGGCTGTCAACAACAGCAAGGAAAAGGGCTGTCTTACCCAGGGAAACCACATTTGCATAATTCTCCAGCATCACCTCCCTGTACAGGGCCCTCTGCACATGATCCAGGCTGGTCCATTCTTTCTGAGTGAAGTACACAGCCACATCCTCAAAGGTCACTGGCTCCTAGAACAACAGGTCCTGCTCAAGCCCTGTGTGAGGGCAGAGGACACCTAAGTAGCATGGCAGAGAACTACTGAGTCTAGTGGCATTGCCAAGGACAGCTATCCAGTGCCCCACCAGGTCAGCCCTCAGCCAGTACTGCCCTCACCAATAGGGGAGCCCAAAAGTCACTGCACCCCTTTAAGGTCATCCCCAGCAAAATCCTCTACCTTTACCTGCTGAACTCTGTGTCAACTCCTTTGTGCCCCATTCTGTCTGCCTGTCTGTCCCTCTGGGCTCCTTCCCTCAATGTGGGTTTTGTGTACACGTGCACGGGGTACATCTGTACAAACACAGCCAATAGCACTTTTGTATTGATTTCCACTCGCTCCTTAACTTTACTAAAGTGACACTAACACAGTGACCTAAAAGAAGAAGAGTCGACACAGACTAGAGGTATAAACTGAATTTTAGAAGGCAGAACAAGAATGAATGGTAACTAGATTAGAAAAGCAGACAAGATGAAACTTAATTCTGGCAGAAGAGCAGGCAAACAAAAAGGAGGCCAATTCAAACCACAGAACCAAAGATGAGTTCAGGATTTTTTAAGCGTGCATGACTTTTTAAAAAAATGCATTTATTTATTTTATTTTAATAGCTGGGGGAGTACCCATAGTTTTTATCTATACCCACCAACCCCATCTACGTACATTGTACCAGACAGGTGAGTTTTTGACCTTCCACCCCTTCCTCCTTCCATCTTCGTGCACTGCTTTTTATAAACTTGGTGACATACTCTATCTGTTTAAAAGCAACATGGAGGAGGGAGGACCAACAAAGAACTTGGACAGCAAATGAAAAATACCTAGAAAGGTGCATAACTGAGAAGTCTCTGAAAAATGAGAATACAAAACAGATCACAAACGCTTTCAGAAAAAGGAAAACAACACACATGAAAGACTGTGAAGCTGAGATGGCAACAAACTAAACAGCAAAGGTTAAAGTTTTTTAAAATGCTGAGGGAGAACTTCCAGTTTGCAAGATATCCAGCAATGGAGGACAACAATCCCTGAATAATGGAAAACAAAGAGGTGAGTCCTGTGATTTCCTAACCTATTGCCTTGAATTTCCAGGATGTAACACACGACGAGAGAACTGAGGCAGACCCTGGCAGTCTCCCTGGTAGAGTCTGAAGAGATCAAGGCAGCTGGAGTTTATAGGACAGAATGCCAGAGAAGAGAGCTACATGGGGAAAGAAGCCCAGTTGTCTGCAGATAGTTACTTTAGAGTATTCAACAGAATATTAATCAGCACGCAGGTGTGCGAAAACTACCCAAGGCCAGAGAAAGGATCATTTGAGAAGACTGAAGGGAGCAATGCCTGGTATTCACACAGGCTGGAAACAGTGCCTTTTTCCACTAATCACAATGAAAAAACTCAGAATTCATGGTACATTAGATAAAGGATCCAGGGAAATCTTGCCTCAGTAATAAAGAGTAAGTATTCCAAAGTACAGCACTACTCAAGATTCTACTAACAAATCAAAAAATCAAAACTAGGAAATTGGTGCCTGGTAACTAAACTTTATTCCAGAAAACACTCAATATTTATGGGAATATAAAAATATCTAGGTAAAATTTACAATAGCTGGTATTCAAAGATTACCAAGCATTCAAAAAGGTATTACTCATACTAAGAAGATTAAACAATCAATAAAATCAGCCCAGAACTGACAGTTGTTAGAATCAGTAGAGAAGAACATTAGTTTTAATATTTTCCCAAATATTAGACAGACTCTACATTCCTGGGATAAAACAGACTTGGTCATGAAGTATTCTTTTACTATATGTTGAATTTCATTTGTTAAAATTTTGTTTAGAATTTTTGCATCTATGTTTATAAGAGGTATCGATCTGCAGTTTTCCTTTTTTGTAATATCTTTGCCCCACAGAATGAGAAGTATACCCTCCTCTTTAATCTTTTGAAAAAATTTGTGTGGAATTTCTTTCTTTTTTAGTCTAAGTCTCCCTGTCACTCAGGCTGGAGTGCAGTGGCACACTCATGGCCACTGCAGCTTCGACCTACTGGGCTCAGGCAATCCTTCTGCCTGAGTCCTCCAAGTGGCCGTAACTACAGTCATGCGCTACCACACCTGCCTACTTTTTTAAAAATACACATGACTATTTTTATTATTAATGTATTCCACATGTTCAAAGTTAAGTAGAGACAAGAACATTTTTTTTTTTTTAGTTGAAGTCTCACTCTGTCAGTCAGGCTGGAGTACAGTGGCACACTCAAAGCCACCACAGCCTTG